TCTTCAAAGAGATAGTTTTACTTCTTCCTTTCCAAATTTGGTTGCTTTTCCCTTCCTTTTCTTACCTTAATTGCTCTAGCAAGGGCTTCCACTTCTATGTTGAATAAGAGTTGTGAGAGTAGACATCTTACCTTGTTCCTAATCTTAGAGGAAGAGCTTTTAGCTTCTCACTTTAAATAAATGTTTCTGTGGACTTGTTTAATAGAGCTTTTACTATATATTGAGGACATTCCTTCAATAGCTAGTTTGTTTATTTTGTCATGAATGAATTTTGATTTTTGTCACGTGGGGATAAGGCACCTATTGAAATGATCATGTTACTTTATATTTATTTTGTTAATGTGATGAATCAAATTGATTTGCAGATATAAATCATCCTTTTATTCTTGGAATAAATTCTCCTTGATTGTGTTGTGCGATCCTTTCAATGAATTGTTGAATTTGTTTTGTTAAAATTTTGTTGAGGATTTTTACATCTGTATACATTAGGATGCTGGTTTGCTGTTTATTTTTTCTAGTGAAATCCTGTTTGATTATGATATCAGTGTAATGCTGGCCCAATAAAATGATATGTAACTGTTCCTTCCTCTTCAGTTTTTTGGAAGTGCTTTTATGTTTATTAGAACCACCCTGGATCTGTGGTTTTGTTTGTTGAGAGGTTTTTGATTACTGGCTAGTAATGGGTTCGTTTAGGTTTTCTATTTGTCACTCACTCTTTGTGGTTTCTAAGAATTTTTTGACGGTTGTCCAATTTGTTGGTATATAATTATTCATAGTATAATTATCTGCTGAATTTGTGTGGTATCAGGTGCAATATCTTCTGTCATATTTCTTGTTTTGTCTTCTTTTCTTTTTTAAAAATATTTATTTATTTATGCATACAGAACTAGGATACAGGCCAGAAGTGCAGGGGTAATGAGAGTATTCGTCAGAGACCGAGTGGGGAGCAGAACAGGCTGACTGACCAAGTACAGTGCTGAAGGGAGCAGCAGGCGGGTCAGGAGAGGTCTGCCACGCCATGTGGTCACCTCCGTGGCTGGGGATCGAACCCATGCTGAAGTGGCTTTAGCTTCTTAGTGCTGTGCTTTAATCTGCTGTGCCACCAGCGAGGGCCTGAGTCTTCTTTCTTTTTTACACATTAAATTCAAAGGTTTATCTTGTTTATCATTTGAAAAATTAACTCTCAGTTTCATTGACCTTTTATCATCTTTTTGGTCTTTATTTCTGCACTTGATCTTTGTTATTTCATAACTGTGGACTAAATGTGTTCTATTTCTAGTTCCTTGAAATACAAGGTTAGGTTGAGCTATTTCTTATTTCTTACGGTAGGCATTTATTGGTACATACTTTGCTTTTACATGCCCGGTTAGTTTTATTATGTTGTATTTCCATTTTCATTTGTCTTAAGATTTTTATTTTAAATAACATTAATTTCAGGTGTATGACATAATAACCAGATATTTGTATAAATACCAGCAACTCTTATGCACACTGTCAGCACACATTGATTTTTTTTTGTTTCAATGTTAATTTATTATAGGTACTTTAGTTGCAATTTTTTAATAGATATTTATATACATGCATGCACACATATGTGTATTTATATACATAGAATTATATTTTAGGAATACAAATCCTTGAAAATGAAATAAGTCTCCTGTGATATTTAATTAAATTATATCACTTAAGTTGGCATTTAGAAAATAGTCTCTCCAAAAGTAAAAATAACAATTATTAAGAGCTTAAATACAAAATAAAGAAAAACTGACATATTTGCATTGAAACACTTTCAAATGCTTATCTTCTCTTCATTTAAATCCTAATGAACAAATTTAGCATGCAAAAGAGTCATGAAAGGTCAAGTTTATACATTGTGTTATCAACATGATTAATTCAAATGAAGAAATAACAAATGTTTTAGTATTTAACTCTATTTACCTTTTTTTTTATTACAAAAGTTTATTTTTACATCATTTTGTACTTTTTTTTCCCATTTCAGTTGTAATCCCCGGGGGTTTCCCATCACCAAGTCACCCATGTGCCATCACCATAATCCCGTGCATTTCCCTCCCCCCACCCCGTTTTTGATCCCATTCCCCACTCCACCCCCACAAAATGTCTCTGGTATATGGTTGTTCATTATTTTTGTTATTTTCCACCTGGTCCATTATGCTCCTGCTATGAGTGAAACCATCCGGTATTTTTCTTTCTCTTTCTGGCTTATCTCACTAAGCATGATCTTTTCCAGCTCCATCCAAGTTGCTGCAAAAGACATGTGTTTCTCTTTTTTGGTTGCTGAGTAATATTCCATTGTATATATGTACCACATCTTTTTTATCCAGTCATCTATTTTTGGGCATTTGGGCTGCTTCCATGTTTTTCCAATTGTAAATAAAGCAGCAATAAACATGGGGGTACAGGTATCTTTTTCAATCAGTGTTTTTGTGTCTTTTGGGTAGATACCTAGGAGTGGGATTGCTGGGTCGTAGGGAAGCTCCATGTTTAGCAGCTTGAGGAACCTCCAGACAGTTTTCCATAGTGGTTGTACTAGTTTGCATTCCCACCAGCAGTGCAGGAGAGTTCCTTTTTCTCCACATCCTCGCCAACAATTGTTGTTGCTAGTTGTTTGAAGATGTGCCATTCTCACTGGGGTGAGGTGGTATCTCATTGTGGTTTTAATTTGCATCTCTCTTATTACGAGTGATGTTGAACATTTTTTCATATGCCTGTTGGCCATCTGCATTTCCTCTTTAGAGAAGTGTCTTTTTAGCTCTACTGCCCATTTTTTGATGGGGTTGTTTACTTTATTTTTGTTGAGTTTCATCAGTTCTCCATATATTTTTGTGATCAGTCCTTTATCGCTACTTTTGTGTGAGAAAATGTTTTCCCAATTAGTGATCTGTCTGTTTTTAGTAATGTCTCTTTTGCTGTACAGAAGCTCTTTAACTTGATGTGGTCCCATCTATTTATCTTTGCCTTCACTATTGTGGCGTTGGGTGATCTGCCTTTAAAGATGTCGCTAAAGTGTATGTCATGTATGTTTGACCCATCTTTGCTTCTAGGTATTTTAAACACATTGATATTTTTTAATTTTGTTTCCGATTTCTTCAATTCATTGATTTTT